CACAATTCCAGAAGTGTAAATTTGCTGTAAGATTTGAGGTTTTCACGGCGGTGACAATGAAGAATGCCGTATTCTAGGATGTGGCGCCGTGTAGATCTGGTTTCTCGCTCGCGGATTTTTCTGCTCTAAAGATGGAGGCGATATGTTCCTCCGTAACGTCGGTTCACACTCAGTCTGCAGCCACCCGCTAACGCCGGTTCCTCGCGGTTTTTTCTACCCTGAAGCTGGAGGCGAAACATCGGTTCACACATCGCCACATCCCAAAGACGGCATTCTTTACAGTAAATTTGTTTACTAGCAATACGTTGTTTTAACGCTTTAAGCAATGAATAAACTTTTTTATGAATGAAATATAAAAAGGAGCTTCACTGAGCGTTGCGATCGAATGGTTAGTTCGCCTTCATATTTGTGAGATCAGGGTTCAAATCTCGGCCCGGAGACCACTTATCCTCATTGAGGTTTTTCGTGCTTTTCTTCATGCTCGTCCAATCCTACACTGTGGGTATACAAAGCTGTGACGTCAGTCAGCAAGGCTCGACGTGCGTTCTAGTATAAACGCGTCCATCGAAAATCAACGCACGTTATGACGTCTGTCAAGAAGTGCGCGCGTGCCTCGTATGTTGGGATCTATTGGTTTCTTTCTATTTCTACAACGGATGTCACCCTCACCTATCATCTGGGGCTGGTACAAAGGTCAGAAGTGGCCGCAGTGCAAGGGGCTTAGTCCCACCCCACTAGCAGTGAAAAAAAAAAGTTTTTGTATGGTAAGAATACATACCATTTGAAATAAATACGTGTGATATCAAATATTTTGACAGATCATGAAGCTCTGAGGATGGTTTTACATGGCTGAAAAGCGCATGTCAATACTGTTACAGTTAGCAGGGTATCTTCATGCATAGAGACTACACTAGAAAATGAAATCGAAGGAGAATAGTTTTAAAATAATATCGAAGATCGAGTACTCGTAAGTAGGCCAAATTTAAGATGTGAACATGTGAATTGGATTGAACAATCTGAAGACATGGTGCAGGAGATTCTGTTTTAATGGCGGTAATGAACGTTCGGGTTTCATAGCATCGGAAAATTTAGGGGTGTATAATCCTTTATTCTCAGGAACCGGAATAGCTCAGTCGGTATAGCTACGGGCTGCGGGCAGGACGACCGGCGCAAGAGATTTTTCTGTACGCTATGGCGTGCTGAACGGCTCAGGGGCCCACGCAGCCTAGTATTCCGATGGGTGCCGGGAACTCTTTCCCCAGGGTTAAAGCGGTCGGGGCGTGAAGCTGACAGCTCACCTCCATCCAGTGCCGAGGTCACGACAGGGACAACTTTAATTCTTGCTTTCTCCTTTGTTTTCTGTGTCGTTGCTTCTTGGTGAACATCGGAATTGCCACCCTCAGTGAATGCCTAGAACCACCCTTTGATAGGTATATATGAGTCTGGAATCAGACGTTAATGTAGGTCAATTCGTATTCTGGTAGCTCCGTTGCCAAGGAACGGGGATAAATGTTATTTCTAGCTGCTTCTGGAGAGATAAAAATGCACACACTCCGACCAGTAGGTTTTTTTTTTAGAACTTCCTTTTATGTGTTGGGTCGTATATTAAGTCGGTATGCACATTTTTGTTTGTGGGGTGTCTAGCCTTGGGGGTTAATGACTTGAATAAAGTTACAGGCATGTATTTTGTTTCGTTATCAACCGCATACAACTCGTTTAATTTGACGGTATCGCTGTATAACAGTATTTACCATCAAAAGCGTTTTCCGATTTACTTTTATCGAACTTCCAAGCAGGTCGTTAGTGTAGCCCTCAGTTATAACATGACTTGAAAGCGTATGTCAAATAATTTATATAAGTTTAATGTGGTTATAAAGCTACCCTGTAACAGGCCGTGAAGGCCCATAAGGTTGTGAGGCTTCCACATTTTCTCTAGACAGTAGGCTCACAGATAGCGGTAAGGATGTCACACTTACGCGCCGGGCGCCCTTTACCCCCAGGAAGATTCCTCGTACTCATTTGTATTAGAGGTTGAGTCAACTCCAGGGCCATAATGCGGCTGGAAGGATTAGATCAATTAAAAAAAATCCACTTCATCGGGACTGGAACTCGCGACCTTCCGGCTTGTAGCATATTTTTTTTTTAATTCGCTTAGTGGGGGGGTGGAATCCAGCTGGGTCCACTCGGCATGGCGGCCACTGATTGACCTGTTGTACCTGCCCTGGGTGATTATGATGATGGAGAATTTGGTGGAATGAAGATTGGCAGGGGAAACCGAAGTACTCGGAGAAAATCCGTCCCAGCGTCACTTTGTCCACAACACATACCACTTGACCAGACCCGGGCTCGAACCCGGGCCGCCGCGGTGGGAAGCCATCGACTAACCGCTTGAGCTATGGCGCGGCCTCGGCTTGTCGCATAGTGCCTCAACCAACTACATGTGTGTAACAAACATGAATAGTGAACGCTTTCTTTTCTTTGTTTATTCGTTCAGCATTTGTAGTTTTGACATCTGGCCAACTTGAACGAACAGTGAATAATTGTGTGTGTTTGTTACTAGTATAAAGGAAAAGTTTAACATAGCATTTACTATTTGGATTGCCTAAACTAAGGCACCTGCGGAAGTACATAATCACTTCCCTTTCTAGCATGAACTACATACATAATGTTGGCATGTTACTAGTAATTTCTTCCGCTGATCGGGTCTGTTCAGTGTACCCTGTATACTTGTACAGTCTTGCTTATTTGTTATGTTAGGCAGTTTATGTTTCGGCCGATCCCAGTGGCCGCGCGATCTAAGGCAAGAACTGTCTTCCCCCGATCGAACACTGGGATCGTGGGTTCGAATCCCACTCGAGGAATGGATGTCTGTGTGTATTTATTCTGTGTTTGTGTTGTTCTGTGTGTAGGTAGCGGCCATGCGACGGGCTGATCCCCCGCCTAAAGAGTCCTACCTTCTGTGTATGGCTTAAGAAACTGAAAATGCGGCCATTTCCGCAAGGGCTGTAAAGCCACAGATGGATAGATTGTGTCCCGTTATTTCAGATTTCGAAATGTAGTGCCAAGGCTTAGAATGTATGGATGTTTACCTGCGTGCTGTTTTTTATCGCCAGCAGTAGGTCACGGGTTTTACTGTGTAGATTTCGAATGCACGTGTTCAGAAGAATGCATTTTTCTGTTCATGTTTATAGAGTTCATTCCGACTGTTTGCGGTAGTTTACACTTTTGGATGTTCTGAAAGTAGATCACTGCCGAAAACAAAAAGAAATGTTTTGAAAGAAAGCAGACGTAATCAGTTGAATAATTACTATTAACCAGTTTCCTTTGAGGGAACATACACACTCTCCCCCCCCCCCCCCTCGTGGCTCTAC